CGTGGACGATTATTGATTTGCCATCTGATTTTTTGAGAGTGGTTTTCTTCTCGAGATGATCACACACCACACCAGACCAAAATTTTTGGTTGCTTACTTTCCTGCGAGAAGAATGGAATGATAACGTTTTTGATTTATTGTTAAAAAGGCCGAGTTTTACTGGCTTATTGGTTGGCCTTCGAAGGCTATCTCTATTCAAAAGTGGACGCATTATGTTAAATAATTTCTCAACAAGGCATCAAAGACCGACTTGGCCTATTTGACTCCTTAAGAAATAAAAAATGATGCAAACAATGCAACACAATCCGCTCAGAAATATTATTATTGTTCAATATCGTCAATACAAGAAAGGAAAGAATGTACAATGGAGAAGGGGCCGTGCAGGAGGAGCATCTCTTTTTTTGATAAGAGAGTCGTCATCTTGTGTGTCGGAAATTTTATGGGGATAAGTTCCCGTGAGGGAGGAGGGGTTAAAATCATGTCGGAAACTATAGGTAGAAGTTCCTGAGGGGAAAATAGACGGGATCAAAATCCGTGAAAATATGGTGACGTTCTTCCTGTACAAGAATGTATGCAAACCTAGAATTATATAATTTTTCAAACAATCCATCCTTCACCACAAAATGTAGGATTTGTATTCCAAGAAAAGATCAACATGCAATGCAAGGTCTTAATAAAAAAATGCATCATTTCATAATTTCATTTTCATTACGGGGCGAATTTATTATTATGAATATCGCTATTTATAATGAACACATGTAAGGATTTTGTATTCAGGGATGTAATTTTGTAAGTTTTTAAATGATAGGATTCACAATTTTAATTGAGGGTTGGAGAAGAATACGGTTTTGTGTGGGTGGAATTTTAACCAGAATTTGAGACAGTTTTACGTAACAATTTGGGACATATTTAATTCATATGTTGCAGTATTTTTCTTGCGTCATGTCAATAATTTAGGGTTTCTAAAAATAGCTTTTTTTCTTAATTCTGCTCTAATATGTGTCCGATCAATCAAAATCTCTTAATTTTATAGCGTTTATCTGTCCCACAAAATGTACACTTGACCACTTTTTGTCTCAAATTTACCATAAATTGCTGCTAAATTGTACCATCATCGTCTCATCGAAACCCTTACAATCTCGTGTAAGTTGGAAGCCATCTCATCTCTCTGGACGGATTTGACTCGATGATGATCGAGTCGACAATGGGAATCTGTGATGAAAATCACTTGTCCCATTTCTTTCCCAGTTAAGATGGCCAATTCATAACGCCACATTGTTACACACCTAAATACATACGTGGTAGCAGCATACAAATTTATTTTGGACATTGTACACATCATCCAAGAATGGCCAGAGTTTTACATTTCACGCTTTCATCCATTGTCCGTCGTGACGGATTGTGTGCGAGTACGTACGTATACGAAATAGGCATAAATGTTATTATGCAAATGTTGATTGAACACTGTTTATTTATTATTAACAACAACCACACTTTGCTTTACGCAATGGGTGTACTAAAGCCCAAGTTTATGCATTATTTAATAAATAAGTCAGTAACAAACGAGGTGACCCTCTCAGCCTGCTACTTATTTACTCACTGCAATTTGTTGTCTGCTAATAATTCTTAGATGATTTTGGTGGATCATTGTTCCCCTTTTGTTACGCAATGGTGGATGGATGGAAAACCAATCCGCCGAGCCAGAGAGCACGACGACGACGACGACGACATGTACGTACGACGACGAAGGATTGAGATTGATCTATTATTGATTGGAGAAAAATGTGTACAATTTTGAAATGGTATTCTCTTTTTTTTATTTCTTTCTTGGTGTGATTATTGTATTGTGACGATGATGATGAAGTGTTAAAGGCATCATGCCAGCGTAAAGGAGTGAGAGGAATGCGAGTGAGTGAAGGGAACAAAAGAACGACGACGGCGTTTTGTAAGTAAGTACATAAGTCGAGAAATATTTTTTATAAGTTGCAGTGTCATGCTTCGTAGATACAGATTTAGGCAGGGTTCGTGGATTTTGAGCAGGAATTTTTGGTGTCGATAAGCCCATGGAGATCACACCTGGAGGAGGACGACCAGGTTCGAAACCCTGGCGTAAAAGGTGAACTATTCGAGGGATGAGATGAGATGTGCATTGTATTTTTTAAGTATTTGTATACAAATCACCCCAATAATTTTACGGGTGTTGAGAGGTAGTAAATAACTTTTACTTAGGTATTTATGCATTCCTTTTGTGTGGTTGAATTTCATAGTTTTTTGACGACTAAAAAGGAAGAATTTGAAGGGATTTGTAAAAGAATTGACATTTTTTACTGCCTTTTTCTCTCTCATATCCAGCCAAGCTTGGTGGGGGTGCATTCCAAAAAGTTTTAGTTTTACTTTCACGTGAAATATCTACACTTACTTTTTTAATCGGGTTGTCTGGAAGGGCATAGAATTTTTTAAGGGAAAAACATGTATGCAGCTTCACGCTCGGTGTGCAAATTGGACACGTGATGAATAATCGACACCAGTTTTCGAAATGTGTGGTGGTGTAACGTTGCTTTGGTCAGTTGTACTTGCACCAATGTGAAAGTGCTCACTTGTTAGTGGCTCGGTGGGATTTGGACTTATTAGAAAATGCCTTTATATTTAAATTAAAGCGAGACTCGATTCACATAATTTATCGTGTTCGCCTTCAAAACGAGATTTATTTAGGATTTCTTTGTTCGTGAACTATTTCAAAATTTTGTGCATGCATTCACTCTGTTGGGCCGTGCGGGAAGGATGTGGGCAGGTCGGGGTCGATTTTGGTGTGATTTTTCTTGGTAAAAATGAATCACGACATCCTATCCGCAGGGTCCGCTGGGTTCTTGAAGAGGACGAGAAATCAGACCCGTTTTCTGTGATAAAATTGTGTATTCAGACCGCATCAGAGGTGTCGATTGGATTCATGCAGAGTCAGTTTGTGTGCGTCTCTACCTGGTCGACGTCGACCCACGAATCGAACCAGATTTGTGTGCGATGATATTTTCTTCTTGTTGAATTCTTGTTCTCGTGTGTGTGTAGGTTGGCTTTTGGTCTTGTCTGGTGGTTGGTAGTGGTCGGATTATCTTCTCTCTCATTACACCCAATCTGCATCCTGCCTGATGTATTGATGATCATGCTCAGGTGAAGTGCACCACGTTATCTAGAGCAGGCTGAATGAATACCTAAATCGATGCAGCTCACTAGCGGTTTTTGTGTGTCTAATGTGTCACAATTTATGGGTTTTTTTAGACGACGTATCCAGATAAGATGGCGTGCAATTACGCCATTCACGCAAGATTTGTAAACCATGCAAATTTGTGCGGACGACAAAATTTATGGGGACGAGGAGATCGTGGAAATATTGTTTTTTCTGGGGGATCGGATTTAAAAAAAGTTTATAAAGTTTGATTGAATAGAATTCGAGCTGCGGGTGAAGTTATTTTACAAACTTTTGCAAAAAAGAGATCTGTGTAACTTTTCAATACGTTTGTAAGCTCATTCTCCTTAATTTTTACTACCTTGTCTGTAATTTGATGCGTTTTACAAAGTTACAAAGATCCTAACACTTCAAACCTTGGATGAAAGATTGCATTTCTAAAAAAAAACAGTGCATTTTACTTTACCCACCCAACTGCATTATTCCACTGCACTTAAAGTTTGAGTTAGGGAACAGTCTGGGCATCCTAGTGAGCGAGTTGACTTTTTCTCCTCGCCACTTACCAGTAATGTAAATGATTTTTGTCACTAAGACTTCTAATTTGCAGCTAATACAAAATGGATTGATTTCGTTTTGGTGGCAATAAATTCCCAAGTTTGTGCTTTACAATTGCCATGTTGCATAAATTCCATAATAAATCTCAGAGAAAAGTATTGAACTGAAACATGGACTCATATCATGTCACCAAAACGAAATCAATCCATTTTGTATTAGCTGCAAATTAGAAGTTTTAGTCGAAATTTTTCTCCTTTTCTGGTTCGCGATGCCCCGTTTGGAGAGTGGGAACGGTCACTCTCAAAACACAAAGCAACTTTTTACATGCAACTGCCTGCATTGTTTACATGAAAATCAGCTGCTCTGTTCGCCCCGCCCCCCCTCATTAGCAAAAAATCTCTCGGCACACAAGGAGACGCAACCGTCGTCTCTGTCTTTTAGTTATGAGATTTTTTTCAACGTATATGCATTCTTAACTTGTTCTTGATCTCCATCCATCCAATCCATTTCGGCGGAGGAGGGATGAGACGATTCACAAGTGGAGAAACTGGATCACTTTATGGGTGCATTTTCCAATATCAAGTTTGCCCTCTCGACAACAACTCTTTGCAAACATGAGAGGAAAAAACGAACGTCAGTCGGTTGGAATTCGAATTGGAAATAAAAATGTGACTGACTTGACAATCGCCGATGGCGAATAAGTGTCACTCTCTTTGTTAGGAGGAAAAGGAATTCAGTCCGACATAGAAAAAAAACTGTAAGGGTTTTCTTCGTGCAAAGAGATTCACTCCACTTTTTATTATCTGTGTTTCTGTACTAACAATTCCGACACCGACGAAGTTGGTGTCGGAATTTGCAGGTGTTTGTCCAATCGCTTCTAAAATTTAGATTGCATTCTATTTCAAATGAAATTTTTACTTTCAAATATTTCCAATCTACTGAAAACTTGAAATAAATAAATAATATTATTCATTTCTTCTTGAGATAAAAGTTATTTTGATGCAGTGCAAAATTAATTATTGCCAATTACAAACTACACATTTTCACATTTTCGCTAAACACGCACACAGTTAACAAAATGAGGTGGTTAGTTTTTTCATGGGTGCAAAAATATTTTTAAATTCATGAAATATGCACATTTTGGACACGCAAAGGGTCAAAAATATGTATAATTATTATGGTATTTAGCTAAATTTGGTAAATTATAATCCAAGAAGGATGATGCTTTGAGGTGGAATTAAAAGGTCGACTTTTGACTCGAGAGTTGATTATTATTTAAGCGTTTTTATTACCGACCGACCCACACAAAGTTTTATAATGCTTTCTTTTTTCCTCACTCGCTACTCGGACGAAATACACGTAAACATATTTATTTACTACAAGCTTACACTTATCATCGCCATGTGGTTATCATCGTCACCCTCAAACTTGCCCGAGTCGAAGGGATGATAATCGAATTAAAAAAACAGACACAGATAAAATGCAAGATATAAATTGTGGTTGTTTACAAAAATTAAAAACGTAAATAAAAACTGGGTGAAGAAACACAACAGGTTGGAAATATGGATAAGTAGAGATTTATATTTATCTATGTAAATACGCAAATCGTGGCAGATTTTGTAAAATTATTTATAATTACGGGATTAATTAATTAATTATTGAATTAATTAATTAATTAATTATTAATACGATACTGATTTAATGATGAAGATACAAAATATGTATTAAGTACTATATGTAAATATATGGTTGGTTTGGTAAATGCGGAATGATAAGATCTTATATATATTTTTATGAGTAAGATAACTACCTATCATCATCTCACCACGTAAGAATGTACTAGTTGCACAGGTTGTCTATTTTTTAATATTTACGTATGACGACATTCTATTTGTAATAATATCTTGGGTAATTTGGGATCTTGCACAAGTATGAAGTACTACTTTTTGGGCTTATCTCATGTGGTTATCTACTTTTACTTGCCGTAACGTCTTCGTATGGCATTTTATTAATTACAAAGCTGAAGAAGGAAAAAAAAGCTCACAATCAATCAATCTCAATCCAGACATTTCAGCAGGAGGTCAACAATTCTAAACTGTGTAAGATTTTCGCAAACTTACAAAAATCGGGGTTGAACTGTCTCATAAAAAAACTGTGATACGAAAAAAAATGCTGTGTAAAGTCTTCCAGTTAAACAAAATATAAGTGCTTATCGAATCTCGTTAACTTATTATTTGAGGAGATGCCAAATACCAAACCAAAATAGTAAATATGTACGAAAAAATCAGTGAAATTAAGAAGTCTGGTAAAATAAAAATAAAAATATTGTGGAAAATTAATTTTCTGAGTTTCATATTTATGTAAATATTTAGATACCCTATAAATTTATACTCTGCTTGATTGATTATTCATAATAAGTATTATTATATAAAAAAACTGACTAATATCTGGAAACAGTCGCAGGTTTTGAAATGCTGAATAAAATTTCCTTCTCATTTCTCCCTTTCCGAAGAAGGTTTCGTTTCATTCAAAAGGTACAAAAACAAATACTTTCGTCCGGGACGAATTATACTTTGCAATTATGACACCAAAAATTGTATGCATGTTTCTGCCGTATTTTTATGTAGTTAGTCATCATGTAGTAGTTTATGTATTATGAGTAGCTGATAAGATAAAAGTTCAATTTTTTCCTTTACTTGTTTGCATACTCTGAACACGAGCAGACGATGATTTTTTGACCAGGAGTAGTTAACCACTTTTAGACGCTGATGTGTCTCTTCTTGTGCAACGATAAGTGATCCGATCGGGAAAATGCGCGGTCACAAATGGTGCAAGGAAACGGTCTGTCGCCCGTGTGTTTCCGGTAGTGGCGCGTGAGCTCGTCCGACCTCGCGAATTTCCAGCCACAACCTAAAACCAGAGAGAATTGGGGGGATGAATGAAATGTGGGGTGATTTTGCATATGTATGCAAATGAGTTATTTTAAAACCCACCTTTCCAACTGCACTGGTATGGTTTTTCGCCCGTGTGGGTGCGCAGATGAGCCTTTAAGTGGGACGATTTCGTATAAGTTTTGCTACAGCCGGGATGTGAACAGATGTGCGTGGTCATTTTCTTCCTCCCCCAACCGCGCCGTTGCCTTTTGCCCCCCTTCACGTCCCCTCCTCCCACGGCGGTGGAGGAGGATTTAGATTTAGGGCCACCACCCTTACTCGGGAGGCAAGTCGAGGTCGTGGAGGTGGAGATTATTGAGACTAGGGCTGGATGCTGGGAGGAGGATGTCGACGACTCTTCGCTGCTCAGCGGTTGTGGAGGTGGCAGTCGGACCGTGATAGATTTTGCAGACGTCGAGGTGAACAATTCCATCAAGTTGGGGGACGACGGTGGCGTCATAACTTTAAGTTGGAAGTCGCCCCCACAAGTGCCCGCCCCCTTCCGGAGGTGCGCTATGCTTGGGAGCGGCGTCTTATTATCCGTCGTCGTCGGGGAACCGAAGACTTTGACATCCTCGGGACTCGCGGGAGGAGAGATTTGTCCATTTGAGAGGGAGGAGGAAGAATAGGTCATCACAGTCATCGTTGCAGTGTCGTAGTCACCCCCGTGACGACCACCACCGCCGCCACCACCGCTGTCCGCCGGCTGTGGAGACGCGGGTTGAGAGAGGGACGAGGACGACGACGTGACGAGAAAGTGACTACTAGTCGGAGTGTTGTTCGGAGGGGACGATGACGACGAGGACGACGAGTGACTATTACTGTTGGGAAAGTAGGTCAAGTCTTCGGCCGCGCGGTCGATGAGGAGGTCGAGGTCGATGTAGTCCTCGGGCGTGGTGGGGACGAATTGTGGGGGAGGCGGTTGTGGGGAGAAGCAGTCTTGGACGATGACACGGTTTCGATGGGGTGGGGGCAGTGGGGGTGGAGGGGAGACTGGGGACGGGGTGGAGACGATGATGGGTGTCAGCATGAGGAGGGAGGGCGACTCGGCGGCGGGGGCGATGGAGGAGGAGGAGCCTGTCGAGTGGGAGGAGTGAGAGGAGGAGGAGCCAGTGGGGGAGGAGGGGTCGTGGTCACTGGGACCGCAGCCGGACGTGTCGGAAGAGGCCTCGCCGAGCAGGACGGATTCGATGTCTTGCCACATCTGGAAGGTAATAAGAGAGGAAAGTTGGTGAGTGGGTCGGACACGATGAGGGATGCGCAAATTTCTAGTGAGTAAAGCAGCGTGGAGAAAGTGAGGAAAAATAAGCGATCGTCCGACTATGCCCCGTAAAAATATACTGCTTGCAATTGACTTGTTGAGAGTCTCAACTTGAGACAGAAAATGGTGCAGGGCTGCGGTTAGTTAGATGGTGAGTATGGTTGAGCTTTCTCAATAAAAATGCTTCCACCCCAAAATTTTTCTCTCCTAAACTTACTGCAACTACTACAACTTGACGGGTGAAAGTAAGAACATGGAACGTAATTTCACTCGTATTATTTCTCTTTCCCATTTTTCAGCTCTATTTCCACGAATTTGTAGATACAAAAATCGAATTTAAGTTCCTCATATTTTCATTGATTTTAATTGTTATCAAGTTCTACATTTTTTTAAACAGTTTTAAACTGACTTGATTTTTGCTATTTATCGACGTGGATAAAAAATTGCTACAAATTGCATAAAAATTAAGGAAGTAAATCAACCCTGGCTTTAAATCACACTTGCTTGACTAACCAAACCCGTCTCAAAAATTCAATCTCAACTCGTCTCAAAATCCTTAAAATCTTATCCCCCCTAACACACTTTTTCTGCAAGTAAACTTATCCAAAACAGTACAAAATCACTTACATCCTGAAAGTACGAAATCTCCGTGGACATATTGTTTCCTCCCCCTTGCGAAATAATACTTCGATTGGGCGGGGAGTCATCCAGCGTCTCCCTCCCTCCGCGACACTCACGCGACACGAGAACCACGAAATCCGTCGACCCTTCACTCCCACTCCGCATGGGGCACAGTGAACCACTTTCACCACCACCTGCATGACTCCCACCGCCCCCACTTTCACTGCTCCCCACCACCGTCAGCACTTTACAGTTGCTGCTGCTGCTGCTACAGTTTTCGGGGTGGTGGTGCGGGTTGGCCGGGATCCCGCCACCCCCACCACCCCACCACGACCAGCACTCGTCCTCCGTGGGTGCGGCGGGCTGCTGCGGCTGGTGATGGTACTTGACGTTCCCGTTGTAACTTTGGTTTTGTCGACCCACACCGACCGTCCATCGTCCTAGCGCGACCCCATCGTCCTCATCCCCACCACGGGAGAGGCACTGGTAAAGCACGGAGCCTGGGTCACCACCACCCCCACCGGTCGGCCCCCCTCGACGCTTCCCCTCTCTTCCTGAGGGAAACAGCTTTCCTCCAGACACGACCAACACGGCCGTTCCACTGGACATTGGGCCTTCAGTGACCACCACCACCGCCACTTCGGCACACGAGTCGCATTATTTTTATCACTATTTTTCAGAAATTAAGAGTGGGAGGAGGCGGAGGAGTGCTTGAGATCTCGAGAGGGGTTCTCCATTTAGTGACCCGCACCAAGGAGGAGATCCATTAAATTATTATAGCAAAACCAAGAATACGAACGAACTCAGCACCACGAGCGAACAAACCACTTGACGTCGTTGAATCAAAAGGAGACGATGATGCCAAAGAGGAGCAAGAAGACGGTACAATTGGTGGACGACGACGACGACGCTGTCCTTCCGTGGCAGGCACTGACATGAGACTGAGCACTCTTCCTACCAGCAACCCTTCTATGTTGATCTCTTCTGCTGAAGAGATGCTGCAGAGATCAGAACCACTTTTGCTTCGTGTGTCCAGCTTCACCCCACCTCATCCACGCGAAGCCCTGTAACACAAAGAGAGGCGACCCCTGCAACCAGATCGTATATGCATTTGCGCTACTACTTCTCCTGCGCCAAGTGAGGACCAGGAGAGGATTTTCATGTTAGAAATACTGCATTTTCAAAACCTTGGTGGTGAGGAGTGCATAAATACGAATGCAAAGGTTAAGGAGGGATGAAATTTTGCGAAATTTTGCGACATTTTTTAGCAACTAGACACGATTAACATATCATAAACATTGCATTTTCAACACCTTGCTTGTGAGTAGTTTTGAGGAGTGCATAAGTACAGGTTAAAGAGGAACGACATTTTGCAAAATTTTGCGACATTTTTTATCAACCGTCAAGGTGGACAGCTTCCTCCATCCGAAAGGAACCTGCCTCTCGTTTAATATTCTAGGGGTAAAATAATTAAGGATTTTTACTCACACGTTTCGATGTCACCCAGACGAGGAGCTGGAAATAGAAGTAATTAATTAGCCTGGTCTGGTTCTTCTGGTGCCGGACCGGTTTCTTCTAACTCTTTGGCGATGATGTGACTCTTGAGCAATGATTATTGATTAGACCCATTATCCCAAAAGTAAGTAATACCCATCCACCACACGAAAGAGTGTCCGTCGGCCGAGTGTGGTTGGCTTTGGACAAACAACTTTAGGTACAAGAATTTTCGGTCTAACGCAAATTTCAAGGTGATTCTTTTCCTGGTCTGGTTTACCTACTCTGACTCTGAGGTGGATGGATGAATGGTCATCTTAGCTGCACTTCACCTCGCCTGCAGTCCTGGTTTGTGGTTAGCCGTGTGTTTTACCTATAGCAATCTTGTATGGATGGCATTAATCGAGTGATGAATCTGACTGAATCCCATAATCAAGCTCCTCTTCTCTTCTTCTTCTCAAACGTTTCTTTGGCATCGCACCACCGACCAGTCAGCCAAACACGTATGTTTCGCTGAACCTTGAATGACTTGTGGCTGGACAACTTAATTAAAGGACTTTGAGCGAGTCTGTCATTACATAACGTAACACACAGCCATGCACGACGGCGATTCATGGAAGTTTGCATAATTTCCTAGAATTTTTTTACTTTTAAAAAATTCTTCGAAATATGTATCCATTCTGGCAGAGAGGCACGCGTTCCTTACACTTTTAAAGACTTTACTCTCTGCTTGCATTTGGAGTTTGCATAATTTCCTAGAATTTTTTTTCGTAAAAAAAACTGGTCGAAATATTGTCTGTGGATTCGACATGACACGCGTTCCTTACACTTTTAAAGACCTCTCTGCTTGCGGTCAGTAATATGTTTTTTGTCCTGCTGCTGCGAGATGATGAGACGAAATATTTAGTAATGGGAGATCATAACGCAAGTCTGTGTGATGTGGTGTGGTGTGGCATCACGCTACACACGTTTATTTATGACTTGTGCTCCTCAAATGTGACATTGTTGTGTGCGTCTCATTTATAGAGCAGCCAGCGCAATTAAGTCGTATAAAGACAACGAGGAGTACCTTCCACATTTAATTTAACGACAAATGTCGTCAAGTAACTTTCATCCTGAATTTATTGCGGCAAGAGTGCAACGCGGTCGTCGAGTGTGATATTATTGCTCGATGGGATCCTATTTTATTGCCAGTTAGAGACATATACGTATCTCTCAGGCTTCGATATATAATGTAATAATTTTGGTATCAATTTGAGGGGTGTGCGGGAAGAATGTGGGGATTTTTGGGGTGAATTTTACCCCGAGGGTATAAATGCGTTGCAAAGGTACACAGATCGCGGGGGTCTCTTTTTGTAAAGAGCGTACTCACGTCAAATTTTGCATATCTCGCAAATTGAGCATAACAACATAATTAGCAAAATTTTGCGAAGTTTCGTGAAAACTTTTGCTGGAAAAAGATGCTATTTTTTCCTCAAATTTACCCAGAAAATTGGCACGTTCTACAAATAATTTAGCAAACTCATCCTCACCATCACCAGCAAGAGAAATTACAGAAATCCATACAAACAACATCAAAATCGTAGATTTGCGAGATTTGTTCACATCCCTCCCGTACAACCCTTTTTGCGATGATATGTCCAATATCCACACCAATTTTAGTTTTCAGTTTGCACTTTGCCTACCAGTTTGCCTCCATTTATTATTATTATCGTTATTTGCGAGCAGAGAGGAGAGCACGTACGTGTGTGTAATGGTAGGTTTAGGTAATTCTGGCGTGATGGTGGGTCTCTCTCCGTCCGTTAATGGTCGGCAAATTAGTACCGTGTGTGTGAGGCTAGCAAAATATATTAAATTTGTAATTATCCTCGTGTTTTTCTCTCCTCGACAAGCTCAAACGTAACCCTGGGGAAAATAATTACTTGTAAACACCGAGATTTAATTAATTCGAGAACAAATTTGCATATGAACTTGCATACATTAATTTCTTAAGCATCAACTCATTAAAAATATTTGGAGTAAATACTTCGTTTTTTTATGCCAAGTTTAATTTTGGAAATTATGCGGAAATTATGTAAAAAAATGTATAAATATCGCCCCAAAGATGATGAATAACTGGAATTCTTTGCTTTAAAAACTGTGCCAAGTTTAGTCCTAATTTCAGAAATTATGCTCTTCGGTACACATAAGTAGCAAAAAAATGGTAAAAATTGCTCCCCAAAGATGATGAATAACTGGTCGCCTGCATGCACACGGATCGATTGAGTAGTTCAATACACGGTCACTTTATTACATATTTTTATAAATAAATGAAGCATCGAGTTTTTGGAAAAGGAACCAGTTTGGCGATCCTTCGCTGCATGTGTAAGAGATACAAATTGGCTGAGCTGCATACGTCGTGGCTGCTGGGGTGCAGAGGTAAGTAAGAAGAATCAATTTGGTAAAATAGCAAATCGCTGTTTAATTATGGGTCTTTTGATGCCGTGTCATGCCACGTTGTTTGAAGTGATAAATAAACTTTCCTCTGCTTTGTGATTGTGCAGGTGGTGATTGATTGATGGGATTGATCTGGTGTGCAAAGGAAATATAATTGAGTTGCGATCTCGTGGTGGTGGTTGTTTTTGGTATGGCGAGAAAAAAAGAATGTGGTTATTATTATCATCATTTACCACTAAAAGTTATCCTTCTTTGTGATAAAATTAGTTTGATGAAAAATCTTTTAACCAGTTTTTGCAGTATGGATGGATGGATGGATGGATGTACATATGCGGCGTCCTGGGGCAGAATTTTCTGTAATTTGAGATTTTTATGAGAGGTACTAATAGATAGATAAAGGTAGGGAGGTAGGGTTCTAAAATCATGCAATTTTTGGGATAAAATTTCAATTTTTAACATTGTAAACTACGAGACAAGTCATTGAAAATTTGTAAAATCTGTGCGTTTTGTAAAATAATTTTACAAATTTTTACAAATTTTTACTAAATAAAAAGATGCATTTGATCTGAGCAAGTTTACAGAAATTTGTGATTTGCTAATTTTCCTGACAAATATCTGTAAAACTGTGTAAACCTTTAAAGAATTTACGGATTTTACATTGTTACCAAAGCCTGCGTGAATTGCTTCTATGTAAATTTTTGGACAAACTGTAGCAAAATTGATTAGCACTTCTTAAATTTTATTGAGATTTTCCTCCCAGATTTTTACACTTACATCTAAATTGTTGAATAACACGGAAACATATTTTTTTTTGGAAACCCTGTTTTTTCCTTAATCGGTACGTGTAAGGAAAGCGGAATGATAAAAGAAGACAATTTATTTTTACATTTTTATGATTATATATTTATTTATTTAGCTCATGCCATGCCCTCAGCAACAAAATAATAATATGCAAGTCAACTGTCCATCCATGACTCGACTGGAAACAAATCACATAAACGTCATCCACCGAATAATAATAACTGCATGAAATTAAACAAAATAAAAAAAGGCAGAAATAATGAGACGTGTCACTCTTCTCTTTTAATTGACACTACTCGAGAGAGAGAGAGAGAGGAGTGACAAGTCAGAAATAAATACATATCTATAATTAAGTATTCCACCAACTTTTTATTTGCAGAATTGATTAAACAAGCATAAAATAAACTGGACTTGTTGTTTCGCCATTTCTTATTTATCAGAGTGCTTGCATTGCATTGCTGTATTTATTACGAGGTGATGATTTGTCTGCTGGTGGAGGGTTGTGCAGAAGAGATGTGACTTCGCATTGGGGGTCAAGTGGTGATCACAATAAGGAGAGAAGTCAGGATTTGAACGGTTTTACCCCTATAACCAGTGGCTGCTGAAGCCGTGGGGACATCGACAATGTAGGATTGGGGAGGGAGGGGTTTATATAACATGGCAAATGTGCGGAGATTATCCCTCTGTCCCCACGCTTCCGCGGCCACTGCCGAAAATAACATACTGACTAGACTCTTGCATGCAATAAGTATGTCTGAACATATAATCCAGAATAGGTCAAAGGTCGAGCTATCCATTTTTTCAGGGTTAAACGACATCAAATGAAATTAACCCGTTCAAATTTTGACCATCAACGTCATGACATTGATTCCACCCCCTTGACACGAACCGAAAGGATCAAAATATGCCAAAAAATGCATCCCCTCCTTCACGAACGTCCCCCTCACATTACATATTATTCAAATCAGAAGGGGGAATTGGTAGGCGAAAAAGGTACGCAAATAAGTTGTTTGTGTCATAAAGTGAGAGAAAAAAGGTAACGAAAATTACAAAGAAAACCTTTTTAGGAGTAACCTCGTAAATATGAGTGTCTCACAATTTGCAACGTCCAAACTGTCCAAACAGGATTGTAAATCACTAATTGCCTTGTCCAGCTTTTATCTTTTAATTTATTAACAAATAAAAGTTTGTAATAAAATAGTCATGATTTTGATAGCGGGGATTGAGAGCAGCAGCAGCAGCAGCGGCAGTCGTGGATTTATGGCCAGATCGACGCATCGTGTCGCGATGATGACCATCTTCCATGGAAGGATTGGATCTGTTTTTAAAAGGTGTTTTTAAAAATGGCAATAAATTTTTACATTGGTCAAATCAAATCAAATCTTGTCGGAACTGAGAGGAATCCATTTTTGTCTTGTTGTTAAATTCGTCG